TTATATTATCATTTATATATGAATAGCTGAGGTGACATCATCAGCTTATAGTATTATGTACATCACATCTGTACCTGTCCATCAAACATCATATATAGCATCCCCTTCCTTGTATGAAATGGCTTTGCCAAGCAGTAATAATGTCCATAGAAGGTATTAAGATCGCTAGCTATGACGCTGTTCCTTTATAAAAGGTCCATAAGGGACAGTTGGAAACGCTAACACTGACACTCTTGTATACACACACATCCACGTCTGAGAAGCTGCAACAGGTGCATGCTGCAAGATCCTCACTTCCGTCTACTTCCCAAAAGACATGAGAAGGACAAGAACATGGAGAACAGCACATGGCCAGGACAGCCATGACAAATAATGGTGACTTATCTTTACACTTCTGCTTGATATTTCTACAGTAGTTGTATCTCCATGGAACTGTTCATGATACGCTTTACATTGTTATTTTACAGTTTGGAACTGTTCATGATACGCTTTACTTGTTATTTCTACACAGTAGTTTACATTGTTATCCAGTAGTTGTATCTCCATGGAACTGTTCATGATACGCTTTACATTGTTATTTCTACAGTAGTTGTATCTCCATGGAACTGTTCATGATACGCTTTACATTGTTATTTCTACAGTAGTTGTATCTCCATGGAACTGTTCATGATACGCTTTACATTGTTATTTCTACAGTAGTTGTATCTCCATGGAACTGTTCATGATACGCTTTACATTGTTATTTCTACAGTAGTTGTATCTCCATGGAACTGTTCATGATACACTTTACATTGTTATTTCTACAGTAGTTGTATCTCCATGGAACTGTTCATGATACGCTTTACATTGTTATTTCTACAGTAGTTGTGTTCATGATCTCCATGGAACTGTTCATGATACGCTTTACATTGTTATTTCTACAGTAGTTGTATCTCCATGGAATCTCCATGATACGCTGGAACTGTTCATGATACGTTCTTTACATTGTTATTTCTACAGTAGTTGTATCTCCATGGAACTGTTCATGATACACTTTACATTGTATTTCTACAGTAGTTGTATCTCCATGGAACTGTTCATGATACGCTTTACATTGTTATTTCTACAGTAGTTGTATCTCCATGGAACTGTTCATGATACACTTTACATTGTTATTTCTACAGTAGTTGTATCTCCATGGAACTGTACTGTGTTTGTAGGAGTGTAGTGTGGGTTTCTGTGGTGTGGTGCAGGTCTCTGTGGTGTGGGTTTCTGTGGTGTGGTGCAGGTCTCTGTGGTGTGGGTTTTCTGTGGTGTTAGTGCGGGTTTTTGTGGTGTGATCCGGGTCTCTGTGGTGTGGTGCAGGTCTCTGTGGTTGGTGGTGCAGTCTCTGTGGTGTGATGCGGGTCTCTGTGGTGTGGT